TTTATTAAATAAAACTCTCTTTTTCCCTGAAGTATACCTGTGCTTTTAAGTCTGTGTAAACTTTCAAGAAAGCCCTTTAAATACCATTTAAATATCATTTTGTCAGTCATTGAAATAGTTTGGGCTCTACTGTTTACCAAAATGAATGTCCTTAGATAGAGAAGTCTAACTGTTTTAATTTGACAAGGAAATCTTTCAGTTTGTGTCTTTGAACTGGAATATTAGAAAATGTTCTCAGGGTTTCCTTCAGATAACTCCCAGCCCTCCATCTAGCTGGCTCTGCTGGGTGCCCGACTCCTGGGTGGCGCTGCCCGTCAGCACCACCGACCATGCCTCTTTCTCTTGGCAGGTTGTGTTGTCATCCATTTGAAAGTCCTGCCGGGCTCTTCCTCCGCCGACCAGTCTCCTGCTTCCATTCCCCTGTGTGCCCTCAGCGCGCCCCTCACTCCACTTAGGCTCCTGCCCACATGTCACCCTGCGGGGAGTCCTCTCCTGACCCTGTCTAAAGTAGCAGCCCCCTCGGCACTCACCATCCCCTCACCTGTCTTATCTTTCTTCATGCCACATATCATTCCCAACATCATGTTTGCTTATTAACCCCAGCCCTCTTCCCCCAGCCCACCACCACACACTAGAATGGAAGCTTTGAAAGGATTTTGAATATTTTATTCGTTCCTAAGTCTCCAGTTCCTAGAATAGTGCCAGGGTCCATAGTGGAAACTTAGTGATTATTAAAGGAGTAGATCTCAATAGTGAGGTCCGCCCAAGCAGCCCTCCACTCCATCCCCCTCCCCCGCCCCGTTGCTGGTTCCACTCAGGCCCCTCTCATCTCTTCCTTGGGCTCTTGCTCTGTGGTCCTAACCTGTCTTGACCTGTAGTATCACTGCCTTGGCTATTTCCCCACCATGTTACTCTACCGGTAATCTTTGTGACACCATAGTAGTTTTTTCCTGCAAGATTCTTCAGTGGTGGTCTTCTCCCCTATAGAATAAGGTATAAACTCATTTACATGGCATGCCAATCCTTTATTTACAGTAAGACTTCTCCCTAGATGGGTAGTCCCATCCCTTCCTGCTGTTGCCTGCATTATATTGGGCTACCCGAACTTTCTAAATGTGCTGTGGTCTCTGGTTTCATTCCTTTCTATACACTGCATCATTTTCCAGGACTAACAATAATAACCTTTTGTTCCAGCTTGTTGATCTGGCAAATTCAGACCTGACTTAAACATAGACTTCTTTGTGAAACTTCCTGTGCTTCTCAGTCTTAGGGTGGTTTTGTACAGTGATTATGAATGGTGGAGTCACAAGGGTCTTGGGTTTAAATCTCTTATCATTGTGATGTCCAAGAGAATGCTTGTGAGATGCTTGAACATCCTAGGTGCTCAGTAATTGTTAGCTCCTTCCCATTGCACTTTGTATATATCTTCAAGGATAGTAATTGCTTTTACTATAGTTTACAAAACTCTTCACTAGGCCATAAGTTCCCAGAGTAGTGGCTCTAGCACACAAAAAAATCATCTGGAGATACTGTTAAAACACAGATTCCGTCTGTACTAAAAATAGAAAGAAATTAATCAAACAACTAAAAATATATAGAAAAAATTAGCCGGGCATGGTGGCGCATGCCTGTAGTCCCAGCTACTTGGGAGGCTGAGGCAGAAGGATTGCTTGAGCCCAGGAGTTTGAGGTTGCTGTGAGCTAGGATGACGCCACGGCACTCTAGTGAGACTCTGTCTCAAAAAAAAAAAAAACAACACAGATTCCTGGGCCCCATCCGCAGAGATTCTAATGCAGTGGGTCTAGGGCAGGACCCATGAATTTGTATTTCTACCAAGCTTCCAGATGATTATAACGCTTCCAGTTCAATGTCTGCACTTTGAGTAGCACTGCCCTAATGGATATGTACCAAGTCTTTTTACCTGGGCTACTGTTAGAATAGGTGCTCAGAAAGATATCTGTTGAATGGATTGGTGAGGGAAAGGATATAAGCAAGGTGGCAAAAATCTCAATAAACATATGGGCTAGCTTAGAATATTGATTTCTCTAATTGAGTTTACACAAAATATTTGAATGAAAAATTGGATTTTGTGGTTGTGAAATTTTGAAAGAATGAATGTGTATAAGCTACGTTAGTAGCTTTTGTAAGTAACCTGTACTTCCCTTCTTCTGAAGAGTCTAAGACCCTGTGCAGAAAATACTACACATTCTTCTTTTTTCACCTGTGTTTTAACTGTAGATTTAGAAATAGGGAAGGGAGCAGGTAAGGAGGAAATAGGAAGCTTGCAGAAGGGTCAAAGAGAAGCAGGCAATTGAAGATGGCAAATTCTAGTGGCAGAGGAATTATATTCTTGAAGACATAGTTTGATATACATTTATTTACACTCTTGATACTGCAATCTAGCAAGTGATGAGATGCCACAAACTGTGTGGTGGTAAATAAAACAATTTACATGAAACAAGGTGATTCGTTGCATCTGGGCCTCTTGTCTCTGTGACCATGTTTTCCTTCTAAGCACATTCCAGGCTTCAGCAGCAATTACATTGTACTTCATAATTTGCAAAATACTTTCACCTATATCAAATCAGGAAGGCCTCAACTGTAAGTAACAATGTCCAAACCATGACGGACATGTTTTGGCTGGCAACCTAAAGTCCAGGGAGATGGTGAGTTGTAAAAGGGCTGCCTGTATCCAGTCACTCAGGCCCTGTTTCCCTGCAATTCTCCGGGCTGCCAACTTTCCATTCTCCATGTGTTTGTTTAATCCTCAGGCTGGTAGCAAGTTCTGGATCTTACACCCAAACATAGCAACATTCAGAAGAAGAGAAGATCTCAGGAGCCCTCAGTAAACCTTGTCTTGTGTCTCCTCGGACTGACTTAAGTTACAAGTCACTCATATACCAGTCTTGGGTGGAGAGCATCCTTAGATAGAGCCAGCCTGCTCCTGGAGCTGCCCCAGACTCAGCTTCCCAGAGCACATGGGAATGTGAGGGAGGCTTGGCTTCCAGAATCTGATCCAGGTTCCATCAGGTTGGACAGAGTGGAGAATGGACGTTGGGTAGGCAGCCAATAAGATCCAACACATAACAGCATCTCAGTTGTTCTTCAACAGTCAATGACAAGGGGATTTTTAAATTTCTAAATATTGGCTGGGTGCAGTGGCTCACACCTGTAATCCTAGCACTCTGGGAGGCCGAGGCTAGTGGATCATTTGAGCTCAGGAGTTCAAGACCAGCCTGAGCAAGAGCGAGACCCCATCTCTGTAAAAAATAGAAAGGAATTAGCTGGACAACTAAAAATATATAGAGAAAAAATTAGCCAGGCATGGTGGCACATGCCTGTAGTCCCAGCTACTCGGGAGGCTGAGGCAGAAGGAGTTGCTGTGAGCTAGGCTGATGCCACAGCACTCTAGCCTGGGCAACAGGGGAGACTCTGTCTCAAAAAATAAATAAATAAATTTCTAAATATCCTGAGAGATCCCTGTGAGTTCACTGTAATGTCTGGGGTGCCTTGACACATGGTTTGAGAAACACCAGTTGAAGGGATTTGCCCAGGGATATACAGCTAGAAAGAGGCAGCATCAGAATTTAAGCTTTAATATTCTGATCTCAGTTCTTGCTCTTAAACCATTTTTAGGGTCCTTCCTGTAAGATCATGTTGCCTCTACAACTCAGACTTTTCATTTGAAATCAGGGTGCAGCAAGAAAAATATGACCCACTGGAAGTCTTTAAAACAGAGGAAATTTAATACAGAGATTTACCCTAGTGATGAAAGAGCAGAGAAGCCTGGGGAATGGTGAGGCAACCCAGATGGGAGCAAAAACAGGAAGCCAGGACCACTCATAGGGCTGCAGGGATGACAGGAAAGGTGGTGTTACCTGGACCCAGAAGCCCAAGTTACCTAGGGGAAGCTCTGGTTCTGTACCTCAACAGGGATGCTGTTGTATTAGGTAAGTGGACTGCACAAGGTGGCAGGCAGGGATATATGGCCTACTGTGCAACTCCGTAGCAGGAGAACATGAGTTTCTTTGATACTTCATAGAAATTGCTTAGAACAGATGATCTCGCCTAGGTTACAATGAACTTCCACCCTTGAATGAACCATATTCTGTGGTGAGGGAGCCTTTATTTCAACAGGCAGTTGATTGGCACCACAAAATGTACTATATATATTTTATTCATTCAATAATCCCTTTAGCAAATATTTATTGAAAACTGACTAGGTGCCAGGTTTCATACCTATCCTTCTAGGTGCTGGGGATACAAAAATGAGCAAAACAGACCTGATCTCTGCTCTTAGGGAGATCAAAGACTAACATAGGATATGGAATAAACACAGAACTAGCTACTTATAAAATTCATTAAGTGCAATTAGGGGAAAAATGAGGGTGCTACAAGAGAGTGAGTGATTTGAGGAAGGGTGTGGCCTCCCACCATTTTAAGTCTAGTTATTAGACTCTTGAGCTGTGTGTGTAGAAAACTTTGGAGTTAGGAAAAGACAGAATATATCTATAAAAAGAAGTTTATAAGAAGATATCAACTCATTTCTATTTTGGCTTAACCCCTGTGTAATAAAGCTTTATTATCTCAAAGCCGTGTGTGGGATCATGTGCAATTGTGAGAGAGCGAGAGAGAGGAGAGAAAGAATGGTGCAAAGGAAGATCCCCTTAGAAACGCATTCAAACTTTCGAAGGAGCCGGAGGGCTCACAGCAGCTAATCCCTGTCATGCTTTCTGGCACCCCCCTCCTCTCATCATAACTTGTGATCTTAGAGGCATGAAAGAATTTGAGCCCCGCCTCCAGCCTGACCATCTCTGTTGGCTGCCCAGCCAGGCTCCACGTCAAATCCAGTTTAGCGCACAAACCTGAGAACCAGGCAGGAGGCGGTGGGCTCACAGGAACGTTCCACACCCAGTGGCCATGGGTGGCAACAGTGGGCAGGCTGACCTCCACACCTATAAATCACTAGCTGAGGTCAGCCCCTTGGGCTCTGTAGAGCCACCCAAAAGACCCAGGAGCAGACTGATCATGCACAGCATGGCCATGTTCGGCCGGGAGTTCTGCTATGCGGTGGAGGCAGCTTATGTGACCCCAGTCCTGCTCAGTGTGGGTCTGCCCAAGAGTCTATACAGCATGGTGTGGCTCCTCAGCCCCATCCTGGGCTTCGTGCTACAACCCGTGGTTGGATCAGCCAGTGACCACTGCCGGTCTAGGTGGGGCCGCCGGAGACCCTATATCCTCACCCTGGGCCTCATGATGCTCTTGGGCTTGGCTCTCTACCTCAACGGGGACGCTGTTGTATCAGGTAAGTGGACTGCATGAGGTGCGCAGGCAGGGATACGTGCCCTACTGTGCAACTCCTAGCGGGAGAACGTGAATTTCTTTGACACTTCGTAGAAATTGCTTAGAACTGATGATCTCGTCTAGGTTATGATGAACTTCCACCTTTGAATGTCCCATGTCCTGTGGTTAGGTAGCCTTTACTTCTAGAAACATCAGCATACATTGTCTTTCTTGTGAGGATTTTAAGACAGAATTAACTTTTTATCTATTTTACCAAATTAAATATTTTTACATATTTATCGATTGAGTTTCTTTTTGAGCCCATTCTGCTCTACTTAATATTTCATCAAATTGACCAGCTGCCAAATAGCTCCATAAATATTTACAACAAATCACCTGTGTGTCCAAATGAGAGTTAATTCTGTTCGTAGTTTTATGTAGAGCCTTTAGTGGATACAGGGCATCAACCTGTCAGCTCAAGGGAACATTTTTGCATTGCAGATTCTGGACAAAACCAAACTTGATAGTAGGCACTTTTCCCAGCCATCAATCAGTTTCCAATTAACCAGTAATTGGTGGTAGAACATACAAGCTGCACTGAAAAAAAGAATTGTTCAACTTAAAAATAGCACACATTTTTAGATCATTAACTCTCAGACTAACAGAACAGGTGATTATGAGGCAGGATAATCAGTTATCATTCGTATAGATTTAAAAGAAGGCATAAATGTATAAGTGTAGGATATTTTTGGAAGAATGAAGAAAAAGCTGATGAGAATCGTTGCCTCTAAGGAGGGGTACTAAAAGACTGGAGGTGAGAAGTGGAGAGTAGGCTTATTTTTCACTTATTTTGATACTGTAATTTTTTAAACGTGAATATTTTCCATGCTATTCTTAAGTTTAAAAAATAAACTGACAGCAATGGAAATGACAATGTAGCTTCAATAGGAGATTGGGTGAATGAATTGCAGCATATCCGTAGGATGCACATGATTTAGCTGTTAAAAATTGCGAGGAAGTGCTTCATTAACTGAAGTGAACAGGTATAAAGGGAGCACTACAGTCTCTCCTGCATCAGTGCTATTGAAAAGTGTGGCCTCTGAGCTGCAGCAGCGGCGTCAGCAGGGGTTATTGGACATACACTTTCTCAGACCCGTGGAATCAGAGTCTTGGGAACTGGGTCCAGCAATCGCCCAAGTGACAGTTAGGCACAAAGTTTGAGAAGCACTGCGTTTGCAGGCTCGCATCGGTGTGTGCAGAAGTGCATAAAGGGATGTCTCAAAAGATGACCTTTGCTGGGGCTGGGAGTTGAAGCATTTCCTGTAGCTTTTTCTATATCGTTGGAATTATTTACAATAAGCATACATAATGTTTTAATTATAGAGATGTTTCACATACCAGAAATCGCACTATTTAAAAGTGTACAATTCAGTGCTTTTCAGTATGTTTACCAGGTTGTGCAGCCATCACCACTCTCTAATCCCCAAACATTTTCATCATCCCAGAAAGAAACCCATCACCTATTACAGTCACTCTCCATTGCCTCCTGTGCACCAGCCCTAGCAACCACTAATTTACTTTCTGTCTCTAAATTTGTCTTTTCTAGACATTCACTTGCATAATTTTTAAAACCTGAAAAAAAATACTGAAGCTGTTTTTACTTGGAAAAACAAAGCAAAATGAAAGCAAGGGAGATGATTTGATGACAGGCAGTTTAGGTGGAAATAAAAAAAATGCAGATCATTCTAAAGCAGGATTTAGGAGACTGATGTTTATTTCTCTTTTAGCTTTGATTGCTAACCCAAGGAGGAAGCTGGTTTGGGCCATAAGCGTCACCATGATAGGTGTGGTTCTCTTTGATTTTGCTGCTGACTTCATTGATGGGCCCATCAAAGCCTACTTATTTGATGTCTGCTCCCATCGAGACAAAGAGAGGGGCCTCCACTACCATGCCTTCTTTACAGGTAGGGAATATTCCAGAAAGTCTCTCCTTCAGCTCCCCAGACAGGGAGGCCCTTCCGCTGAAGCTATCCCGCGTCTCGTCTCTGAAGTTTTTGAATGAATGGATCAGTTGATGGGCTGCTCCCATCACACGGGCTCTGTCTCCCAGTGCATCTCTCTAAACAGTCAGCTTGTGACTAGGGCCACAGAGTTTTTGCAGAGGAAGTTTACGTAAGAGCGATCTTAAGAAGGCTTTGTGGAGACAATTAGAACCGAAATGAAAAGAAGCCTTGTGCACTTTACTTTCGCTTTAGAGCAGTAGATCTCAAATATCAGCAAGGTAGCATCAGCATTCCTTAGGAGGTTGTTGAAAATGCAGTTTCCTGGGCTCCTTCTCCAGCTATTCTGATTCAGTGGGTCTGGGGTGGGGTCCAGAAATTTGCATTTTATTTAATAAGGACCCCAGATGATTTTGAGGCAAGTGTCCTAAGAATAACATTTAAAAAACAAAAATAGAAACAAACCAAGCAAACAAAACCCCCCACGTCTTAGAGATTTCTTGGTTATATAAAGAGTTGGCATTTCCTCAACTTTCTGATTTGAAACAGTCCATGCCAGGAGAACAATGGAGGCCTCTCTTGATTTCTTGGGGCTGTTGCTGGCCTCCTTTGGTTGCTGCTGACCTTTCATTCAGAGCAACGTTTCTCTGAGCACCAGTTAGCACTGCGCTAGACCTGGGGGGTGGTGTACAGGTGACAGTGGCAGCCTGGCCTAGGGCTTTTCATATCTAAAGGGGACTCTATCAGCCCACTGATTTGATTGTCTTCACAGCTCAGTCCAGGTATTTGTTTTATGTTTCGATGTGTTCTGTATCCTTCCACGGCCAAGTAGGTCCATGAGAAGCAAGATCTCGAGTTTTGCTCCCAGTTTCTATCTCTAGAGCCAAGAATGGAGCCTGCACACGGAAGCCATTGGGTTAATATTTGTCATTTGAGCAAACATTTGAGTAGTTAAAAAGAACAAGGCTACACTGGCGGAGCAAGTAGTTCCTCCTCCATGTAGGGAAGGCAGAGGGGCAAGAGTCCAGCCCCATTTGTCACTGGCCCTGGACCACCACGGCTCCAGAGAGTTTAAGGCTCATAATACACGGCCAGGGCTTGAGACGTTTCCCCACCTCACCTCTGCTCTTGGTTTCCATTCCCATGCACTTTCCACCTGTGTCGCCTCCCTCAGATGCTCCCACCTCTTTGGCCTCCTGTTGTCACGGGGCGTACCCAGCCCACACCCGCCCCAGGGCTTGGCACAAGCTCTCGCCTTGCCTGGGACACTCTTCCCCAGATAATCCCATGGTCATGCCTTCATTCCACTCAGGTTTCTCATCAAACGTGTCCTCATCAGTGAGGTCTTTCTTGGCTACCGTATCTAAAATAGTATGAGCATTCCCCCTCCCCTTATCCTTAATTGGTGTGGTTTTTCTTCTAGTGCTTATCACTGCCAGGCTACTGACTGGCTATCTATGTATCTATTAATATCTATCTATCTATCTACCTATCTATCTATCTATCTATCTATCTATCTATCTATCTCTACCTGTCTACCTACCTACCTGTCATTTATCTATCTATCAATCTATTGTCCATCTATCCATCTATCTTTTTTCATTATTATTTATCTCTCCCATTTAGAACATCAAGTTCAGGTGAGCAGACCCCTCCGTTTTGTTCTCTGTTGTATCTTTAGTTCCTGAAACAGTGTCTGCTACATAGTAGGTGCTCAGTAAATATTGAACGAATATTTATCAAATACCTCATATCTGCTAATAACCTTGTATTGAGTATTTTCTCTTATATCATCTCAATTTTGACAGTGGCTATGTGGAGGTGTGTGATTCCCATTTTTCAGATGTGAAAGCTAAGCCTTGGAAGCAGTGGTGTATGCCGGCACTGGCTCATGCTGGCTTGTGAGAATCAATTGTTAAATTTTTAGGAAGTTAGTGAGCTGGTGGACATCACATTGGTGGCTTGAAATTGGCCACGATGGGAGGATTGAAATTACAGAAATTGGCAAAACTACAAATCATGGCCTTTTATCCCGGAGAGCCAGTGGGTTAAACATTTAGCTGAAGCTTGCGGATTGGAGTGGAAGAGGGAGGTTAATTGATTAAGTAGCTTGTCCATGGTATACAGTTAGAAGGTCCCTAAATAGAGATTCAAACTTCATTCTCCTAACTTGAATCTCACAGTTCCTTCTGTTTTATCATAATTTGCTGAAATTAATTACAAGGTCATAGGAGCCTTTTTGGCTTTTGAACCTGACACACTGAGAGTTTATTGATCAAAGGACACTGGGCAATGTGATCACCACTTCCAGCTTACAACAGTATTAGGCCCGGGCAAATGACCTCTGCTTTGCTGCCTCTGATATTAGAAGATAGAACTCTGTATTTCAGAAACTTTTCCAAAGCCAACACATGATAGTATTTCTATGAGTTTAAGACAATATATCTGCTTTGAGATTTTCTATTGATATTAGTATATGGTTTGGTGGCAGCAAACACATTCAATTTGAGGTTACCTTGGTTCAGTCTCCCACTACATCTTGTGTGAGCTTTAGTATTTATCCTCCAATTGTTTTTTGAGGCTTTAATTTCTTCCCATTCCAACTGAACAAAGTGACAGCTTCCAGATTCATAGTCCTAAAAGTCAACTACGACCAGGGCACTCTCCTGCTCAGTGACCTTCAGTCACTATTTGCTTTCTGGATAAAGAACAAATTCCTAGACAGGGTTTAAAGCTGCCACAGTCTATTCCCATTCTACTCTTCCCATACTCCCTCCACATTCTCTGTGCTCTGAACAACTTCCCAACATGTTCCCAGAAGCAGAGGCCGGGTCTGTTTTATTCACTGCAGCTCTCTCTCTCCACCATTGCCTGGCACATCACAGATGCTCAAAATAAGTACTAATGGGACCCACGAAGGAGCCTGCCCTTTCTCCTCTAGGTTCTGGGTCTTTGCTCACACTGAAAGTCCCTTTCTCCTTTTCTGCCCATGGAGACAAAAGCTGCTTGGAAACTTTCACCCAGTTCCCAGGGAGAAGGACCCTCACTGTCTTCTCAATTGCAGGTGTACTTAATTTCTAACTTGGTCAGGGACTCCATCCACAAAATGATCAAAGCACAAAAGTTCACTGAGCGGATGAACATACAGGTGGCAGTAAGGTAGATGGCTCCAGCAGGAATAGACAGTAGAGGCTGTAGTTTACCACCTGTGCTGCTATAGACTTTCAAGTTATTTGTATACATTTCTAATCACCCTCATTACATCATAAACTTTTTTTTTTTTTTTTTTGAGACAGAGTCTCATTCTGTTTCCTGGGCTAGAGTGAGTGCCGTGGTGTCAGCCTAACTCACAGCAACCTCAAACTCCTGGGCTCAAGCAATCCTCCTGCCTCAGTCTCCCGAGTAGCTGGGACTACAGGCATGTGCCACCGTGCCCAGCTAATTTTTTCTATATACATATTTTTAGTTGTCCAGCTAATTTCTTTCCATTTTTTTAGTAGAGACAGGGTCTCGCTTTTGCTCAGGCTGGTCTCAAACTCCTGACCTTGAGAGATCCACCCACCTCGGCCTACCAGAGTGCTAGGATTACAGGCGTGAGCCACCGCGCCCAGCCCATCATAAACTTTTTGAGGGAAGGGCACTATCCAGAGATAACACACATGTGATGAGTGAGAGGATAAGGAATACGTGAGAGAGCAACGATCAGAGCTCTGTGCATATGATGACCTCTTTGGGGGACGAGCACTGCCACACGAGAAGCCAGGCTGACTTCCTTGAGACCTTGCCTGGCCCCTGGCCCCTGCCCCATCATCCCTGTCATATTCTCCAGGAATGGACTGGTTAGGAAGGGGTTTTGTTGCAAGTAGCAAAGCCCACATACCACTAGGTTAAATACATAGGGCTATTTTCCTCACTTAAGAAGTCTGGGACTAGGCGTCTGCTGGCCTTTGGACAGCAACTGGATGTCAAAGCTGGAAATTTTATGTTTATTTGGCTGCTTCATCCATGTGTTGCCTCCTGGATACACGGTGGTTGCCGCAAGTCCATTAATGATGTTTGTTTCCAGACAAGAGGAAGGGGGAAGCCAGGTGGGGAAGAAGGAAAGAAGATGGGGAAAGCCTACGGTGTAGGTCCTACACTCTCTCAAGGAGAAGAAAGCAAAGGGTTTCTGAGGAACCCCACAGACTTCTACTCGCTTCTCACTGGACAGAATCAGGTCATGTGAGCGTCCGGTGGCGTGGGGAGGCTGGAAAGTGAGGTTTGGATGGGATAGGGTGGGAGTGGATGTGCCTCCTCAAACTAAACTAGGATTCTGTTAGCAAGGAGAAAGCGGTCATTATTTTTGAATAGGTAAAAGCTGGTAGCTATCACATAAAATGCAAACACCATTGAGTATTAGCCTAATCAGAACAAAGACCAAGACTGTTATCAGAAAATGACAACCAGAGCTTTCAAAGTCCTGTATATTAGTAAGTAATTAAAAGATAATTGTATTTTAAAGTTATATGCCTGTTGACAGTTTTACCTAATCTGCACATTTATTCACCTTCTCCCCTGTATTGTAATTTATGATATATTTGCCTATCTCTCCAACAAGACTTGTAGACTCCCCCATGGGGTTTACCTGAAAATTCCCCATGGCTTCTAATTCCTTGCCTTGCTGATAGCAGGCACTTAGAAATGTTAGTTGTATAAATGGAGACTCTAGGATTTCATAACTGTGCTTGTATTTTGTGCATTTTTACATCAGGTTAAATAAACTGCATGACAAATTGCATCAATGAGACCAATATGCTCATTTAATTACTTTGCTTTGTCTCATGACCAGCCCTGAACTCTGAGCCTCAGCCAACTGTCTCCAGGGTGCGTCTATGGTCACATGTGGACCACTGGAGTGTGTGGATGGCTCAAGGCAAGTTCCTTCCCCTACTATTAATAGAAAACAACTGAAAGCAACATCTTCC